CTCTTTAACTTACGGATTATGAAGAGCATCCTAAGATCGTTTAATTTGATTCAGGCTTTATGTGGCTAATGTTTGGTCTTGGATGTGAATTAGTCTATCATGTTTCTTGGAAGGTAGGAAGCAATCTTGATGTTTACCAAAATCCAATGTGCTCTTTTGTAGCTCAGTTTTGAAATATGTACTAATTATTGTAGAGGGAACCCGAAACAAAGAGACCATATGTATGATTTTATATGCGAAGAGAAGCTCCAAATTTGAAATCGTCTCCACTCCGGTGATATGTGGCCATGGTGTGAAGGAGTCTGGAGCCATGGTTATTTCAGATTCGGACATAACCGTAATTGTTAAACTAATAAAAATAAGATCAAACGTACCGGATTGATGAGAATTTTTGGTGTTCTTCGTCATGTTCTTCGTCGTATGGATCTAACAAAACAAAAAAAAATATATATACCCCAGAATTTTTTTTTGTTTGTTAATAGAGAGAACCCACCAATTTTGTAGCGTTGATTGTGACATCGAATTGTTTGTCGGATGAATATAAGTCTCTAATCCGGAGACTGAAGTTGAACCCTAACAAAAACATATATTCATAGCATAAAATTCATAAATAAAAGGTAGAGCATCACATAGCTTTTTCTTCAAAGCCAACACATCTCTCTTTGTAGACGAATTACTCTCCAATTTGGTATATACTCAAATTTTCCAATGACTTCCTTCTCGAACCTGGAGCGTTTTTGCTTTGCCGGATATTTTTAGGATATGGCTCTTATGTATCTCTTGTGAGTCACTTGATATGTTGTTTAGGTAAAACTTTTGGTTTGAAAGAGAATGATCCACGACAAGCATAATCGGTTATTTGTTATATATGTGGCCATGTTCATATTGCTTTCTCCACAAGCAATTTTCCAGTTTTGTAGCATTCGATATTTAAATTTAAAAGCTTCAATACGTTGTATACATGTGTATGTATGTACATATATGAATTATTCTCAGTTGCACATAGTGGTATCTAATGGATAGATACTTGCTCTCTGTAACCCTCTCATTTTTAGTACCTATCTTCAGTGTTTACTTTGCTAAGAGCTTCTTGATAGGCATACATCTTTGCAATCTCAGATCAATATACTACAAATACATATACGATACAGTTAAGAAAATGATATTTCTCTTACAACTTTTTATATGGGTTTTATAAACAAGAGATCAACTGAAGGGTTACGCAGCGACCAATGGCGAAGGTAGAGACAAAGATACTACAATAGGGACGATAAATATGACACGATATATACAAAGGAGATGCCTGTTTCTATACCATTGAAATTTTACGTACATAACTACTTCAAAGAGCAAGATGACTTACTTGATAGGTAAGAGATATGGTAAGAGATTATATTTTTCAATTATTTGTTTCCAACTACGAAAAACTCCAGTGACATACAATCTAAAAGCATGAATATATCATAAAATCAAGAATACAACAAAAACCAGGAAGATGGGCCCAAATTAAAGTCCGAAACTGGACGTGGGGAACCCACGGACAGTGGCGGTCGGAGCGTTACAAATATGAAAGAAATGAGGAAGCGTGCATATGTCATAAAACTAAGAGTACTACAAAACCAAGAAGATGTGCTCAAAGAACGAAACTGGACGTGGGAACCCACAGACAGTGGCGGTCGTGGCATTACAAATATGAAAGAAACGAGTAAGCATGAATATGTCATAAAATCAAGAGTACGACAAAATAAAGAAGATGGGCCTAAAGACCGAAACTGGAAGTGGGGAGCCCACGGACAGTGGCGGTCGGGGCGTTGCTAATATGAAAGAAACGAGTAAGCATGAATATGTCATAAAATCAAGAGTACGACAAAACAAAGAAGATGGGCCTAAAGACCGAGACTGGACGTGGGAACCCATGGACAGTGGCGGTCGGGGCGTTGCTAATATATTGTTGGTTTAAATATATAGATTTTTTATATTTAATTCTATTATATATATCAAGATATAAACACTAATAATTGTTTGTGATTCAAAAACACTATTAATTGTTGATTACTAATAATATATATCAAAAGTTATAGCGTTTTACCATAATTCTATATTAATGTCGTTATAAAAATTAGACTCTTGACAAAATTAATTCAATAAATATCCCTAACTTGATAACCCTAAATATTAATTATTAATTCTGGTCTTAATCAACATACAACCCCGCGCTGGGCGCGGGGACCTCCCCTAGTGTTTACAGATTTGTTCTAATTTATTATTAAGACTTAGAACGATTTTGTGTGTATGTTTGCGATTAGATTATTCTATCGTATTTTAACATCTATTAACTTCGTTTTCGTAACTTCATTTTTTTTTCTAAATAAGCATGGCCGCGCAAGGCGCGGATAACTCCCCTAGTTAGATTATATTTGAATAAGGGCATTGACCAGAAAAAAAAAAAAAAGTTTAAACGGGCCTGAGTTGTTTAGCACATATATCAACTTTGCCGTCCGTTATTGTTCTTTCTCCTTTCTAGTTATGTATGTTGTGTTGGTTCAAAAGAAAGGATGATTGCTTGAGAGAAACAAGAAACATGTATACATAATTACATATCTAGAAGTTAGAACCCAATTACATAAGCATACATACTTTTTTTTTCTTGTCTAGGATACGGTGAAAGCATTAAAAAAAGGTACTCCCTCTTTTAGTTGTCGTTTATAGTTTTTACACAAAAATTAAGAAAAGCATTAAATTTTATGTTTTACCCTTTATTAATAAATTTTATAAAAATTTCATTGGCTAAAACATTAAAACAGTAGTGATAAAACTGGAATTTTTACCAAACATTTGCATTGAAAACCTAAAACGACAACTATTATGAAACAAAATTTAAATCATAAAACAACAACTAAACCGAAACGGAGAGAGTATAAGATTATACATCGAAGTCAATTCTATACTTGGTTTTTTCTTTTTTACTTAACGATGTATATACTTGGAATAATATGGGCTTATATAGAGAGATCTAATTAAGAATTAGACGTATCTTGTGGGCAGGTAAAGTCAGTAGATACGTTCACGAAATTCATGTAAAATATAACTAAATAAACTTCTTGATTGGTCCACCTGCACGCATATACTTTATCAACTACATATACGTATGTTCATGCATGTTACGTATATTTTTATTATTGTAAGCCGGTATTTTCTTCATCACAGAAAGAAACCAAGAAAAACAAAACCAACTAGATAAAGTCATTTAATATTTTCATCTTTTACGAGAAAAATAGAATTATAATTTCTCGAAACTATCTAACACAAATTCTCTCCGACCAATGAAGAATAATCAGTCTTTTTGGTTTTTGTTTTGGTCTTTCACGAGCAAATGAAACTTATACTTAATGGTATTTGGTGAGAAGAAAAGGAGCCAAACCACATGAAAATAAAATGTAAATATTAATTGTAGTTGTCGTTTCGTTTCGTGTAACGCCTAACCATGTATCGCAGCACGTTACGACTTCTTTGTGTTGCTGTATGTGTAAATGATCTAACCTAATACTACTATTGCAAAGAAATAAAACTATTCCTTTGTCATATACTACTAAATTCTAGGAATATTTGACACATAACATAACCACAAACTTTTAAAAAATCTGTTTTATGAACTTACAACCAAACCGAGAAATGTATAGGACATCTATTAAAAATACCAGATCTCTACCAAAACTTATTAAACAGAAAATATAAACGTTACGAATGATTTTGGACCTTGTAAATAAATAAACGATATTACTAGTCATGATATTCATCGACAAAAGACCTGTTATTTACTACAAAATTTGTAGTGATATTTCCCCCTACACAAAATTTATGCTTTTGAATAATTTGGTCTATAGTTTCTAAGTTTGAGATCAAATATTTGATAAAATGCGCATGCGAAACTTATATATCATCTAACATGGTCCCGGACAGTAGAGGATAATAGGGCCAATGTCGAGAATTTCTTAGATAGAAAACAAAACTAAAGAAGGTCCTGTAATTATAAATACAGAGTGGCCGAGACAGACACAAAACAAAAGAAGATTTATTTCAAAAACTTTAATGTAATCAAATGTAGTTGTGAATTGTGATCATCTTCTAACATGTTACGGTCCTACCAACTCTCTCTTCCCACCCTTTATCTTTTTCAATACTATAATACTATCAACAACAACTTCAATCTTATTTATCAAAAAAATAAAAAAACAAAACAACTTCAATCTTATACTCCATAAAATTTAATATTATTAAGTCAGTAAAACTAATATGCATTTAGTAATTAAGAATTATGAAATATGAATGGCCGGTTTTCTCAGTGTATCTGCAAGAACTCCAGAGTGACATGGAAGAATTTTCTAGTTTTTTTTTATCTTTAATTCTCCGTAGCGCAAATGTAAAAGCGGATAAATTGGCTCGACAAGTTCGTACCGAACCGCTTCATATGACATATGTAAACAATATTCTCTAGGAATGACTATTTTGAGCGTTAATTTAAGTTGTTGACAAAAAAAAAATTATGAAACGAGGAAAATTCTAAGACTTTAAATGGATGTTGCAGTCAAAATGGAGTAAACCGTTAGCGGACTAAACCACTCTATTTTTGGAGCGGATACAATTTACCGCGGACCAAGTTTCTTTCTGTATAAAAGCAGTTTGTAATATCCGTAGCGGATTTCTTCTATTTTTCTCGGTCCGCAGCGAATTTTCTTTTATTTTTTTTTTCTCGGTCCGCAGCGGATTTCTTCTCTTTTTCTCGGTCTGCACCACTACAATAAAAAACGGTCTAATCCAAAAACGGAATTGTCCGCCCCAACCCTAAATTATGAAAAAATCTTTAGACAAATCCTAATTAGACCAATTGATTCTGTTTTTAGTATATTTTTTTTAATTCCAATTGGAAAAAAAATGATAGAAAAAAAGGCAACAAAACATGGGAAAAAGGAGAAGAAGAGGATTAGGCTGTTGACTGCTTTCACTCCTTTTACAGCTTTGCTCTTAAATAATAAAGCTTTCATTTTTAGCATCTCTCTCTCTCTTTCTCTTCTTCTTCTTCTTCTTCTTCTTCTGAATCGTCACAATGCGAGACTTCTTCCCCAACTCGTCAATGGCGATTCTCTCTGTTTTCCTCTCACTCCTTCTCCTGTCTTTCCCTCTTCCATCATCTCAAGATCTCAACGCCGACAGAGCAGCTCTTCTCTCTCTCCGCTCCGCCGTCGGAGGCCGTACATTTCGCTGGAACATCAAACAAACCTCACCGTGTAACTGGGCCGGTGTCAAATGCGAGAGTAACAGAGTCACAGCCCTCCGTCTACCCGGCGTTGCTCTCTCCGGTGACATTCCAGAGGGTATTTTCGGTAACTTAACTCAGCTCCGTACACTCAGCCTCCGTCTCAACGCTCTCTCTGGCTCACTCCCTAAAGATCTCAGTACCTCTTCCAGTCTCCGGCATCTTTACTTGCAAGGAAACAGATTCTCCGGCGAGATACCTGAAGTTTTATTCAGCCTTACTCACCTCGTGAGGCTTAACCTCGCTTCCAATAGTTTCACCGGCGAAATCTCTTCAGGTTTCACGAACCTCAGGAAGCTAAAGACTCTGTTTTTAGAGAATAATCAACTCTCTGGTTCAATCCCTGACTTAGATTTACCTTTGGTTCAATTCAATGTTTCGAATAACTCGTTGAACGGATCTATACCTAAGAGTCTTCAGAGGTTTGAGTCTGATTCGTTTCTACAGACTTCACTTTGTGGCAAACCGCTTAAACTTTGTCCTAATGAAGAAACTGTACCGAGTCAGCCTACTTCTGGTGGAAACAGAACACCACCGAGTGTTGAGGAAAGTAAGGAGAAGAAGAAAAAGAACAAACTTTCCGGTGGAGCTATTGCCGGAATTGTGATCGGATGTGTTGTTGGTTTTGCTTTGATTGTTTTGATACTAATGGTGCTTTGTCGGAAAAAGGGTAAGGAGAGATCAAGAGCTGTTGATATCTCAACAATCAAACAGCAAGAAACCGAAATTCCCGGCGATAAAGAAGCGGTGGATAATGGTAATGTCTACTCGGTGTCTGCTGCTGCAGCTGCGGCGATGACCGGAAATGGAAAAGCCAGTGAAGGGAACGGTCCAGCGACGAAGAAGCTCGTGTTCTTTGGTAATGCGACTAAGGTTTTCGATCTTGAAGACTTGTTGAGAGCTTCTGCAGAGGTTCTTGGGAAAGGAACGTTTGGAACGGCCTATAAGGCGGTGCTTGACGCGGTGACGGTTGTGGCGGTGAAGAGGCTGAAGGATGTAATGATGGCTGATAAAGAGTTTAAGGAGAAGATTGAGTTGGTTGGTGCGATGGATCATGAGAACTTGGTGCCATTGAGAGCTTACTATTTCAGTAGAGACGAGAAGCTTCTTGTCTATGACTTCATGCCTATGGGAAGCTTATCAGCTCTCTTACATGGTGAGTTTATATCAAAACTTATGTTAGATTGTGAAGTTTCTTTCCTTTATACCGAGTTTGGTTTTTTTTGAGGCAAAACAATGCTTTTAGTGACTATAGATAGGCTTGAATACATTTAGATTATGGTTATGTTTAGTACTTAATCTCTTTGATCTTGATTCTTAACATTGACATGATTTACATAATACTTTGTATAGATTCTGTGAATTGGTGGGGACAATGTGTTTAACATTGGATGCTTTGATCTATGAACAATGATTACTACTCTAAGACTTTGCTTGTGTTCTCTTTAGTTTCTATAATTGGCTTTTGTCTGTTAACAGGAAACAGAGGAGCGGGAAGGAGTCCACTAAACTGGGATGTTAGATCACGAATTGCTATTGGTGCAGGTCGTGGTTTAGCCTACCTTCACTCACAAGGCACTTCGACCTCTCACGGCAACATCAAGTCCTCGAACATCCTCTTAACGAAATCCCACGACGCTAAAGTCTCAGACTTTGGCTTAGCTCAGCTCGTGGGATCATCTGCAACAAATCCAAACCGCGCTACGGGTTACCGTGCACCAGAAGTAACTGATCCGAAACGTGTGTCGCAGAAAGGTGATGTGTACAGTTTCGGAGTGGTGTTGCTTGAGCTGATCACGGGTAAAGCTCCTTCGAACTCGGTGATGAACGAGGAAGGAGTGGATTTGCCCAGATGGGTTAAATCGGTGGCGAGAGATGAGTGGAGGAGAGAGGTTTTCGACTCGGAGTTGCTTAGTTTGGCGAGGGAGGAAGAGGAGATGATGGCGGAGATGGTGCAGCTAGGGCTTGAGTGTACTTCACAACATCCGGACAAGAGGCCGGAGATGTCGGAAGTGGTTAGGAAGATGGAGAATTTGCGACCTTATTCTGGTTCAGACCAAGTGGACGAAGCTGATTAAGTCAAAGATTGTTAATTGTTGAATTGTTAATTTATTTAATTGTAATGAAATGGTTTGGTTGGGGAGAAATCAGGTTTTAATTTAATTTTTAATTTTTAATTTTTGACCCAACTTGTCAAAAAGGAGATGGGGTTTTAGTGGGTAACTCTGCTGGCATTTGCAGTTGTTTGTGTTGGGCGTGAAGGATTTGGTGGTGATTTGTAATTATTGTCGTTGCTTCTCTTTCTTAAATCTATTTTCTAAATTGTTACTTATCATTTTGTCTCTTTTTTTTTCCATTATCATTTTGTCTCTTATGTTACATGTGAGTGACTTTATATAAAGTTGTGTACTATAGTAGTGGCAAACGCAGTTGGTCAGTGTTTTATGAAAAAGATTTGTTCAGTTCTTCGAACAAATACAAATTGTTAGGATTAAAACATTTTTTGGTTGGCCACTTGTGGAACGCCTTTTTCCGGCAGATTTTGATGATGTGTTTGATAGGTTAAATAGTAGTCCTTGTGTGTTTGAAATGAGAAAAATTAGTTTAACTTTGACAGTTATACTAATTTAAATTACCGTTTAATTTGTTCATTATTATGTTGTTTCGGTTCCGTCTATTTCGCACTTGTTCAGCTTGTTTTGGTCATTATGGTGGATGGAAGTTATATGTAATTTTTTATCAATACCAATGTATTTGTTTTGTCAACATGTCTTATCAATATAAGAACATGCTTATTATTATCTTTTGTTATCAAAGTGACCACATCTAATTTAGTTTCGATGGAGAGAAAGCTAAATATACCAAAAATAAACACTTAACACATGATTTATAAAAATGAATTGAATGAATACTAATTTGCTATTATGGAAAAGTGGACAACTCTTTTAATATTGGGGTTGTCCAACCATTTTGAATAATTTTGTTTTGGTTCCCAAAAGCCACTATGATTTTTTTTTGGCTTGCAAACATTGACAGCTTTAAGAGTAAAGCATTTAATGCAAAAGGTATAAATAGGTAAGAATGGGTGGAACTGCAACAGTACTAAGGCTGCTATAATTGTATGACTCTTTTAGAGAGGTCCCAAAGGTACACATGATAGAGAGGGACCATAAAGAGAAATTGGTTTCAAGAGAAGACGACATTAAGATAGTGATGATTCTATTTTAAGTGCGTTGTCTCTTTACCTACATTTGCGGTTGATGCGGCTGCTAATTGCCCATACAAACGCAAACCGCAATCGCTATCTGTTTAACAAGATTGGGTGTATGTCCCAGTAGCATGATAGGTTTAAAACTTTGGTTTGGAAAATGTATCTCTCGTTCAGAATCTATGAAAAGATGTGACAGAGACAAATTGTAAATATATAATATATAAATAATGCACAATGAGATCTTCTTCTTTCACTCAGTTTACTTAGACAACATTTCACAATCCTTCTGTGAAGGTGGAACGCAAAAGCCTGAGAGACCATGTCCATATATGTTAAAACCACAAATCCAAACAAATATCAAACCGCAAAACACCAATAACCGCATCTGCGGCTGCGTTATGCGTCCAAATAAATGTTTTCCTTTTTCTTTTCTTCTCTTTTTCTTCCTGTCTCTGCGTCAAAAGGAGTAAACTCAAAAGAAAACCAGTTTGTTATAGATATCAAAAATTTAGTAATCAATGAAGAATGACTTACATGTACAGAATAAACAAGTAAAATTCATTTGTTTGTTATCTTCGATGCAAACTTGGTTGGGCTTCATCTTTGTGACCTTTGGACATCAGATTATAGTTGATATATGCCAGCTGCGAGAGGTTCTTCATACCGTAAAAAGAGCGAGTCAGAATACTAAAACTGGTTCTTCTCTCTTAAGAACACCATTTTCAAATGCTACTCAAATCACTTGCCATAATGATACAAATACAAGCCAGTTCTTGACTTGAATTAGGTGGAGGTACAGCCCACAAATTCATAAACTACTAATCAATAGCCTCAGCCCAAACTCGGATCTATAGTCAAAGGATTCTGCAAGTCTGTTATAAAGCTAACAACCTATGTTGTACTTGATTGATGTGCGATCCTTGCAACTTTAATTAGGACCGAACTTATAACTAATAAAGTTTGCAGCAAGATCTCAATCCAAAAATGAAACTTGCAAGGGAACTTCTACAATGATCAATCGTATACTTGGGTGACAAGGGATCATAGAAAGAAAGTCATGATACAATACCTTGAACGAGAAATTATCGAATGTGTAATTTTCAGAGACACTAGTTTCGAACTCCGCAGGTCCACGGGGTTTATCAACCTGCATACCATCATTTATCCAATTCAGGGCACTACACATCTAAAAATTTAACGTCAATATTTCTGAGGAGGAAAGAGAGTGAATCAGCAGATATTACCCCCTCGTCGTGATGATTGCTTAAGCGACCACTACTGCCACTCAAGCTGTCACCGTCACTACAATCTTCATTCTCATTGGGAGGAAAACATTGCTCATCCGAATAGTTCCACGAGTAGCGACTCTGGAAGTAACTTGTGTCAAGAGCATTTTCTGAATCCGGCACAAATGCAGCCTAGAGGAAACAAGCAATAGAATGCCAAAAAAAAAAAATCATGAGTTCGGGATATGCAAAGCATATGACTTTAAAACTAAAAGATAAATGAATTCACCTTCTGTTGTGCTAGAGTGTTCCAGTTTATGTCTTTAAAAAAGATGTGCTGCTTGACCTGGGTCATGATATTTGTTTCATCACTACTACACATTACAATTCATTGAAATCAGTCATCCAAAAAAAAAGACATCAATGTCACCTCAGCCGCCCCTCTAGCTCCAAGTCTCTGATGGGGATCTTCCGTTAATAACCTGGATTAAGCACATGAGACGATGTTACATAAATTAATACTTGTGTCTTCTTCTCAATTGTGTTATAAGCTGATCTTGAACCAAGCGTCAGGCGTCAAAATGGGCATATACATAAGACTCTTTTGGGAACATATATACTCCATAAGCAAAACATGGGAAGAAAAGGGTTGCTTATTGATGTTTACGAGAGAGCTGCTGAATTTTCTTAAAGAACTATTTTAACTACACATATATGACTGGACAGAGAAAAATCACTTACCGATCTATCAAATCACGGGCTTCAAGGCTCATATCTTCAGGAACAAGAGGCCATTGTATATTTCGGTTGAGAATATTGTCAAAAATTTGCTTAAACCCAACAAAGAAGATACAGATCAAATATCAGGGAATTGGAGAGTGAAACTAGATATTAAATACTCTGTAGCAACATATGAAGATGTTAAATGGAAGTGTTTGAAAGTTAAGAGGCCAGTACAAAAAAACATAGCATTTGATGACCAGCCAAAATTGGAACATCAGTTTCTGAACCTTGAGAAACCTCTATTTCCTCTAACAAAATAATTACAAGGACGATGCAATATCGAGTCACTGACCTGAGGATGGTCAGCATTGAAGGGCGGAATCCCCACAATGAATTCATACAAAATGATGCCAACAGACCACCAATCCGCAGTTGCACCTGAACAGTTATGGAAATATATCAGCCTTTACAGTTTTGGTATGTGATAAAGAGAATTGAATATCTAAAACTATAGTCAGACAGGCAGCAGAGCAACAATTTAGTGTGAACCTAAAGCTGCTAATAAGCTACATATTCAAGCTTTCTACTTACACCACCAGATAAGTAGAACTGTAATCAACTTGATATACCACACATCTTGTTATTCAGATAAACAATCTCAACCCAGGACTAATCATTTTTCTATCAACCCAGCACCAATTTCTACTCAAAGTAAGATTTGGAATAATAGAGAGATGTGGAAAACAAGATGAGAAAGAAATGTGTATGCACCATGTCCTGTCCCCAAAAGAATTTCTGGCGCTAAGTAGTCAGGAGTGCCCACTGCAGACCGCTTATGCCCCAATGTCGGCAATTTTGGTTTCTCCTCAACAAGCAGCGACACTGCACTGGAAACTGGACCAGAGAGATCGTCGGTGCTGTTGATGAGACCAACTTTTGAAAGCCCAAAATCTGTCAACTGCTCAGACGAAACAAAAAGGTACCATAAGGTCTACAGGGAAGCATGGTTCTGATAATTTATACAAGTATTATATTTACAGAGTACAGACTCATAAATGCGGAGGCTAATTGTCCGTGTGGGTTTATTATTACGAGATTCAGAAAGGACTATATAATCTCCAGAGTATCACATTGCATGACATCAACAAAACATTCTGAAGGCCTGATACTATTCAATATAAGTTTGCAAATGGTTATTACCTTAACATGACCATCATGTGCAATCAACAAATTGTCAGGCTTCAAATCACGATGCACAACACCCTCAGAGTGTAAATATTCCAAAGCAAGGACCTGACACGAATAATTGACACTGAATCACAACATTTAGATAAAATATCTTGTTATTATGGCATGATGCCATGATGTGTGAGAATATTACACACTTACAACTTCTGCAATGTATACACGGGCATTAGTTTCATCCAAGCAACCTAATTTTCTCAACATTGAATAAAAATCCCCTCCATTGAGGTATTCCATCACAAGATACAGGTTTTCGCTACAAGTAAAAGAATAGAAGAATCGAACCTGGTCAAAAGAACGTTATGTTAGCATAAGAAATCTCTGCAGAGGAAAAAATATGCTTAAAGCTAGAACAGCTCACCACAAAGGGATTGCGGGCGTTGATCAAAATATCTCGTTCAGCAAGTATACTTTCCACAGCATTCTTGCGGATCATATCTGCCTTCCTCAGAACCTACGGAGTATGACAGCCCCCAAAACAAGATTTAGGAAAACAGTTAAACAGATTTTGCCGACCAAGTCAGCCTAACTGCACAGACAGAATCTTTTACAAGAGTTAAAAAAAAAAAGCAAAACGAACTAAAATTTAGAACACCTTAATTGCAAATAGGTCTCCTGTAGTGTTCTTACGAGCCAAAACAACATGCCCAAAAGCTCCCCTACTAATTGTCTCCTTGAGCTCAAAATCGTCTATGGATATGCGGTCCCGCAGATGTACTGGACTGGTCCTCAAGCTGCGAACAACATCATCTTCCAAAGGAGCATCTTCATCAATCATGGTACCTTTTTCATCATCCATAAGCTCGCACAGCTGAAGATACTTTTCCCTAATAATATAGAAAAAAATATTCTTACAATCTCAGCCTGAGCTATTCTTCCCTCAACTGACAAGAGAATAGTTCTGGAGACAAGAATACATCTCCCAGAACACTTGAATTATAAGCAAAGACAGCACGGGGTGAGATCAAAAAAATATTTGTAAGACAAAGTGGTACCAGGAACTCACTGTATCAACTTTTCTATGCGTGTTCCAAAAGTTTCAACTATAAGTGCATCAAACTTTCTGCGGTCAATGACAACTCTCAAGTCTTCAAGACAGGAAAGTAAAAGCTGAATAGATTGATCATCAACTGGAATGGGATTTGCGGCGCATCTTGCAATGTCAGCAAGTTCACTCATCTGCATCATCAGTTATCCAGGGGTCTATTCATCAGTGTGGATATTAAATAAAAGACTAGGAAACTATGAGCATAGAGCAGAACTAACACAAACCTGAGGGAAATCATCCTGGTCATGGAATGTACCATTGCCTCCTAATAACAATTCAACTGGATCGGGTTTAGGGGTTGGAATAGGGGATCTAGGAGTCATGCTACCGGCAGATGAAGTAGTCATGCCTTGATCAGACTTGGGACCAAAACGAGTTCTGCATGACATTGAAGGTAAACATCTCATATCATCCATGAAAACTGAACTATCAGCCTCCGGAAAACAGTCAAGCATGTCCTCCGACCCTCTTCGCGACCAATCACTTAGCTTTGGGGAGAGAACATCAAATTCTTCGGTCAAGCTCGCGTAAGATATTTTCATACCATCTGGGCTTTCTACCGCTGCTATGTTATCCTTTTGTATGAAGTTCTCTGTTATCTTTTCAAGAGTTACAGCAACTGCCACCAGCCGCTCGTCAACACTCACACCCTTTTGGTCATATTTATCAGCCAATGCACAGATTCTAGAGTGATCTTCCACATGGGTGGTGGGAACTTCCTCCTCGCATATACGGCAAATAATTGAACTTTCCTCAGAGATACATGACTGATCCCCCCAATAACCCCAAGAAATATTGTGCCGATTCTTGGGCATATGTTCCTGGGACAATTTTGCGGAAGAAACGTCTGGCAACTTCGCAACAGCCATATCATCACTTATAGCTACTAGCTTTTTAACTACCTGTGGAGGTTCAAATTTGATATCATTCTGCTCTTTAGATACTGCAGCATCTTGTACACCCTTCGATGCTGGAGATGGAAGCCTTTTCCAAGAAGACATTTTATCGATGTTTGCAGGCGATTCAGAATCCTTTGACATTTCATTGTACGGAGAAGAGAGAGGAGCTGGACGAACAACAAAGCCCTCGTTCCAATTCAAACCACGCTGCTCCTGACTATAAGCTTTCTTGGTGGATGGTGCCTTTAAAGCATTGGCAGTACTTGAACCGCTCCCGTCCCTAACTTCTCCAGTGGGGACTCTTTTATCGGCAGAATGCAAGACTCTTGACTGACGTAGTTGTAAGGCATCTTCCTCCTGCTCCCAACTTTCCTTATGAAACTGAAGTAATCTGGTACATCTGGTAAGGATAAAAAGCATCCGAGTGTGAAGTTGCTTGAGCACGCCCGGAGAAAGCTCTTGACGTCTATCATCTAACTCTTGTACTATGCCCTCACACTGAAGCCAGAACTCTCCCGAAGTAGTCTTAGCACAAGTCTTTGCCAAAACCAACAAGTCTTCAATTGTTTCCAGCAACTCAGGATGACTTTCTTTGTTTTTATCATAAATATCCAACAGGTCCCCACTAAATGCAAAAAGGTCCGAATTTACTTCTTCCTTTGCTTTATCAAATTTGGTTCGAATTAGATTCAAGATTTCCTGCATAAGACAGATGATTGGAGAATGCATTGAACAGATTTGAAATGAAATTAATACAGAAACAAGAGCCTCAAGACTACCTCCAAGTTATTTGACCTACGAGGCTTCCATAATGGAAAAGGCCGTACACCTTTCGAGTTCAGCTCATGAGAAAAGCTCTTGATGTCACCAGGAAACCTCTTTCTTGGAGCACTGGTCATACGAAGTAAAGCTTGATAACGAGGCGATTCTGACTCTTTAGGATTTTCCAATTCATATGAATTCTAGAAAGATAAACGTCAAGTCACCAAGGTCACTAAGAACTCATATATACATAGCACATACTCTCTTTTTTCGGTAAGGAGAAAGGAATACCTCTAGTGTGCAAACTTCTGAGCTTCCTACAGGGCCAGGTATGCTAGGTGATACCTTAAATTGACCTGCTTTGTAACATCAAAATCAAACTTGAGAAGCAAGAACTGAAATACCAGCGAGTGCCACGATAAAATGCAAGAAGTTCTAGGATGAGATGGGCACAAGTCACACAAGATACATTCAACAACATGATCAAGAGAATTTTGAGCATCTGAAGCCATACCAGTTCCCGATGCCAGCAAAGCGGGATTGCTGCTTCTTAGCAGTCCAATATCAGAAGATATGTGATCAACTTCTAGCTTGCTACTTCCAGCTTCCTTCTTGCCAGTATCCAACTTCGACAACTTGTAACACGGTAAGACCGGAATTGCATTATCATTCTCAAAACCGAAAAAAGTTTCCTGCGGTAACGGACCAGACCTCGTCTTGATTCTATTCAAACCCAAAGATGAAGCCATAATAGGCGAAACCGACGCCGATTCCTCCTTCACGTTAGACGGCGCCGGCGTTTCAACAATTGGTTTCTTCACCTCAGAACCAGAAGATGACAAGTTCGATTTCCCGGGACTAGAAGACTGAACTTCGAACGAAGCTTCTTTACCCTTTGATGAACCATCCTTCTTCGTATTAGGGCTCCGAGTTTCCTCTTTGGAATTTGATTTCGGTTTCTTCTTATCGGATCCACTCGGAGAATTGGAGCCAACAGATCGTGGACTGTTATTGCTATTGGGACTAGAAGATCCCGATTTCTTCGAGGAGAAGAAGAGTTTGCTCTTGAACACCATTTTTGACTTCTCCCAAGAGATTTCAAACCTAAACCTTACCACAACAAACACGCTACCGCAAAATTCCAAACTTCCATCTCCAAGTCAAAAGTCGCTATGTCTCTTATCTTCAATCTATGTTTAGATTTCAAAACCTTGAGAAAATTCAAAACAAAGCTTTCGATGAATCGACGAAGAAGACGACGGTCGACGGACGTAACAGTTTAGTAGGAAACTAATCTTTTATTAAAGCCTAAAACGAAGAAGATTAGGGGAAAAAAAATAGTCAAACCTGTTAAAGACGAAACTTGACTTTGATTAAACGTTAATGACTTTCAACTGAAGATTAAGGACTAAGGACTGCATTTTCTTATTTTATATGCATAAATGAGTAAAGTAGATAAGACTATCAATACATTTTCTTGAAGATTTAGTCATAAATGAATTTATTGTGACTTAAGAGTTTTAATTTCTTGGAAAAAAATAGAAAGAAATTTATAGTTTTGAATCTTTGGATTGTTATTATGGCTGTAAATGGTAACATGGGTGTTGAGGAATTCTTGAGGAATTTTTGAAAAATTAAAATTGGTTACATCATTTGCATGTTGAGGAATACATGAGGAATTTGTGAGGAATTGTTGATATTTCAAAATTTTATATTTGTTTTTAAGTTGTTAAATAAATTAATCAATTTAACTATTATTAAAACTAAATGATAATTAAATTATAATATTTAATTTAATAATAGAAGACTTCTACTAAAAGTTATTAGTAAGAAAAATTATAAACTAGAAAAATAAAATAGTTTAATTTTTATTGAAAAAGTAACAATTACTAGTTTATTTTATTATTTTATGCTTTTATATGATATTTACATTTGATAAAAAGATTAAATGTATCACATTCCTAATATTTTACAAATTTGAACTTTTTAATAAATTAACTTATTATCTCATGTTTAATAAAATTATTAAATTATATAAAATTTCAAGTTTAATATTTTCATTTGTTTTTTATTTGCTCTTGTTGACAAAATAAAAAATTGGAATCTATATTTTCATATTTTTGTTAACTAATTAATTAATTTTGAAAAATTCAGTCAGATTAAGCCGTTACCATTTGAACTCGAAGATATTCAGCCAGATTCCGCAAAAAATCATCATTAAATTCAGCCAGATTCAGCAATTCAGCTAAATTCAGCTGGATTCCACGGTTACCATTTACACCCTATATAGAAGCTTTCGCGCGTTTTTTATACATCTGAATTAACAAATCTAACAAATTTTAAAATTTTAATTACCGTTGAGATTTTATATATTTATACTAAATCGAGTAATAATTTACTATATAAAATATTTATAAAGTTATAGTTTTAACCGATAGAAGAATATTTTGTGCGTATTTTTGTTTAAAATTGAGTTAATCAATCCAACTAATTTTAAACTTTTCATTACCATTGAGTGGAATCGAGTAATATATATACTAATTAGTTTTAATTAATATTAGAAAATTTTGTGCATATTATTATTTTTATCTGAATAACTAAATCTAACAAATTTTCAACACTGGTGGAATGTGATATATTCAAAATCCACTAAAGTAATAATTATTAGATACAAATTTAAAATATTATAGTTATATTTAATGTTAGAAGATACATCTATACAAATGATTTGATATGGACTCAATAAATAGTTTTGTAATTATTTACTTCTAATTAAATTAATTTAATATATATATATTTTAAAATTAATTCAATATATATATATATATATAATTATTTACTTCTAATTAAATTAAATTAATTCAATATATATATATATATATATATATACACATAAAAATTTCAACTTCCACCTCTAATTTCCAATATATATATATATATATATATATATATATATATATATATATATATATTGGTAGCAAAATAACATAAAATTCTATGTATTTTATTGGAAGTATATGTGGGAAAATGGGTAAAAAATCTAATATTGTCAAATATCATTTAAATAACCCTCACCATTTTGTTTAAGGTCTTTAAATCCTCACCTTTTGATTAACGGTAAACTAACCCAAAAATTGCAACCATACAAATCATTTTTTTTATAGTAAACTAGATAAGGCCCGCCTAAATAGGCAAGACCAAACAACCATCACCGCTGTCTTGAGCATCCTGAAAGAAAGAGACAAAACATGATACAAATTAATGAAGAAGATGACAAACCTATAACTCATTACAAAAAATAAACAGGACATGTATATGTGTCTCTACATGTACCAATTATGTACCAATCTTGTCATATCGTGTACTACATATACCAATTATGTACCAGAAAACGTGCATCCCCACAAAGTATCAAACCTTTCATATTCGGATGACTATTCGAAGTGAAGTACTTTGTGGCAAGTTCTTCAACCTTGTCATAATAGGACAGGTATGCCATGTCCACTCGGACTTGGTGCGACCACATGAGCTCAATAAGGAACGTGTAAGTGTCGTGAAACTCATGACGATTATCTCTTATAGTTGCGAACATAATACATTTTCTGTCCATAACTATGACGCCATAACAGTCATCTTCATCAAGAAGTCGCTGGAGAGCCGCAATATGAAACCTGCTGTCGAACTGATAAAGAGATGCGGTCATGGGCCCGAATGGCTCAAAGTTTGGCTCAAATTTTCTAGTATATGTAACTTCGTGGCCTTCCTCATTCAAAACAGTCCTGGTATAAACCGCCAAGCCAGCATAGTGTACTGTATCAAGCTCTTTTAGCATCTTTTTTGCAGAGTTAATGGCCCAAAAGTACCTAGAGCGATCTTCATTGTTCTGAATATCCCGAGCACTTCCATATTCGGTGTTAAGCTTGTTGATGACTCGGGAAATAGGATCGGAATATGGCATAATCAAAGAGAACATGCTCTTGTTATTTCCTACATGAGCAACATCAAGGGTCTTAAGCTCATTCTTAAGAAGCCACATTTTAATATTCACTCTGCGGCCAACCATCTCCAAAGATCAAAACGAGATAAAACTGAGAAAGCCTGCCAAATTTCAAAAGTTGAATCAAAAATTAAAAGATATATGTGGTTTCTTCAAAACTGGGCTTCTATTGAATCAAAATGAGCTATTTCTCCTTGTAATCGTGAAAAGTAAGATAGAGATTTAGATAATTCTAAGTTGGTTTCCATGGATCACGATAAAGATTTCACTTGATAAAATCTTAAACTTGAGATCATGAAGAATACTCGATAGTGATTTATTACTATATATAGACGCATATATACAAGAAACTATACAGTCGTATATACATGTGCTTCAGAAAACCCTAATCGCAGAAGAAGATGAATCCACCTAGTCCCGTCGGAGAAGAAGGCTTGTCGCTGAAAAGCCAAAAGAAACATATATATTAGGGTTAAAGATAAAGAAATTGAAGCAGACATTGGAGAATATAACCATTTGATTTCCCCAACAATATGGTTTTGATTGAATCAAACTAAGCAATTTTCTCTACATAATCGTGAAAAAGATAAAGATTAAGATCTTTCGCTTAAATTCCAATCGATTTCAATGGAAAAAGTTAAATATTCACTCGATATACCTTCAATTCTATAGATCTTCTTGGAAAAAGATGAATTTGAAGGAGAATTCAGAGAAATCCAATCGCAGTCGTCTCGTTGGAGAAGAAGATGAATCCAATTTTTCAATTTCCCGCTTGTCTACTTCTTTCTTAATTGCAAATAAACCACACACACAGATATCTACATATACATTTTTGGAGGAAATTTTGGTTTTTAATTCTTGTGGGTCGGATTAATGACCCGGTTTAAATGTATCCGGATCCTGGATAAAGCATTTAAGGAATTTTTTTTTAAAAAACCGACATTATGTCTTTAATTACCCACTTAAACTCTGTTTCCTTAACTTCTTCTCACATTAATCGGCTCTTTTTCTATAATCTCTATTCGAATATTTTTTCTCTCAACTAATTACTCTCAACATACCTTAAAAAAACGACACAATCTTTAAAAATATCTCAAAATCCTCATTTCATCTCTATTTAAGTTAATATTTTGAAATCAAAAACGATTTTCACATATTTGCCAAAATTCTAGCCACAATCTTGCTAAAAATTTACACTATACATATTTCTTCCAAATAGAAATATTCATACCGAGTAATTTAAAGAAATTATTTACTACCTATACAAAATCCGAATTGCAGCATATTCCTAAAATAAATCGATTACAAAGATTTGATTCGAATTTAGTTAAGGTTGCAAAAATATTTTCTTTGGCTACCACGACTTTCGTAAGCTAATCGTCTCATGCCTATATATACTCTTTAGCTTCACTTCTCATCACACCATCGAACACACAAAGCATTTGCCCACCAAGTGTTAATATGTTTAGCTATGATGTTTTACAGTATTATCTTTACTTTTTCATTTATTTTAAGAACTTGTAGATTTTTAAAATTATTTTCATATGAAAGTATGAAACTATTAAATTTTATATCGTATAATTAATAAATTTTGTAAAATTCACAAGTCCAAATTATAGATGAAAATAGAGTTCTTAAGTTTGTGAGAGAATTAAGAGAATTCAAAGTAAACAAAGGTCATCAATGTGAGATATGTGCTAATATTGCCATTCCTCGAAGGATTTGTTTTTTACTTGTGTGCTTTATCCTACACGGAGAACGAGATTAATCAAAAAATATTTATTTATTTTAACTAGATTTTAAGTTTGAGGTAAATCAACATCACGAGTTTTCTCTTTCACCAAAATAATTTGAACCTCATCTATAACCAAAAAGAAGAATAATATTGTTCATGGGTTGTATTTCTATTAAACCTTCTGCTAACTTTGTCACTAAACCCAAGAACTTAGCTTCATGTATGCAAGCCAATTCATGAAACTAATATTTGCCACATAGAAACTACAATCAATCACTTTGTTCAATTTAACTACAACAAACATACACACAATTTTGCATTTTGTATGGATAAGAAGGTGTAAGAACAATAATGAATGACGTTGAACAAAAATGAATGACGTTGTGTGCTACCATTTAGTCTATTCATGTTTTCCTTTTTTCCTTGTGCATTTTGCTCAGTTAAGTGTTAGAACAATATTAATGTCAGTAAAACAATGTAGATATAAACATTTATAGCTATTTGCGTCGGGCGTGAAAACACCGGTTTTTAGCTTTAAATCCTATTTGGATATGTGGCACTCTCTTAAGTGCTGACGTGTCACTCATATGGAGAGAGTTGACCAACTTTTATATATATGATTAGGATTTAACCCATTATTACAAAGTAAAATAGTCATCTTTTCAAGTCTCTTTAGCTCATTACCACACGATTCATCTTTTTGTTCATAGGCGGCTAGGCGGTCGATTTTTAGAACATGGATCTTAGTATCATCAATTATTCCTATGTGGTATATTTTTCATTCGAAATATATTTTTAGTCATCAATCTTAGCGGTTAAATAAACTATATAAAAGTAAAAGTAAAGATATACAGTTGGTTTAACGTGTTTGTAAAGAGATTTTGGAAGTGGTGGTAAAAAGCATATTTCAATGGTAAAAAAGTGAATGGGTGTAAAACATATTTTTAGTGGTAAATTTTATAGTGATTTGTAAATTTTTAGTGGTTTGCATATAAATTTTAATCTGAAGAATGTATTTAGTTAAAATATTTTTATACCCGCATGTTTAAAAACAAAAAAAAAAAGAGATAAAGACTATAAAAAGAAAAAAAATTTCAATTTTTTTTTTGTTTATTCTCTATAAACATTAAAAAGAAAACTTCTAAAACTAAAATTTAATTTGTTTCTGAAACAGAAAAATATTATTCAAGGTTTTGTGCATCATTCACTTTTTAAAAATTTGGAGATCAATTATGTAAAGGAAGTCTTATCAAAATTTGAATGAAAAAATATAATTAGAAACAAAATAATAGAAGCATAAGAAAAATAAAACATTTAATTTCTGATTTTGTTTTCACGGTTCGTCTAATTTTGTTTTTCATTATTTTGTTTCTTTTTCATGGATTATGACAAAATTTAGATCACAAACCCGCGTATATGCGGGTCCTTAATCTATTATATGATAATAATTAAATTAGTAGTGTGCCATGTGCTAATGCTTATAAAAGAAATAAAAACATTTTAATGAAAGACTTAATCAAACCTCTTTTAGTCGTCATAGATTTCAACCAAAAATTTACAGGTTCAAGAATCTTGAAGGAGACAAAGAGAAGAATCTTGGAGGAGACAAGGATGACAAAACTCGTTTCTAAGACTTTAACGAGGTTGATCTCTCAAAGTCAGTACATGTCTTCTTCTACTACTAGCAATCTCCCTGCTACTTCCAATCTTGAGACCCAATTGCTTTCTTCAGTTCCACCACCCGCAAGTACCTTGCGCATGCTCTCTCTCGTCTAATTTGTGATTAAGCTCTGAATCTTGGTTATGCATATATTCACGAAGATGGAATTTTTGTTTCTAAAAATGTTTTGCAGAGAAGAAAAGAGGGTCAGCGTTGTTATGGTACTTAGTTGGATTCACTACTTATGGTCTCGGTGAGACGTATAAGTTCCTACAAACAGATTTGGTCTGTGATTTTCATTATATATATATTAACCTAATCGAATATATGTGTTGTTCTTTGAAATGCTAAAGAATTTGTTCAAACTCTTTTTGTTTCAAGTACAAGAAACATCTTGATTTCAGACGACAATGCTTGGAAACGAAACCAATGAAGCTCAATACAATGAAGAATGTGGATGAGTTAGGATTTCGACGGGTGGTATGCAAAGGCGTTTTCGATGAGCAAAGATCGATCTATGTGGGTCCAAAGCCTAGATCCATGTCCAAAGGTTCTGAAAATGGCTTCTATGTCATTACACCTCTTTTGCCAATCCCTAATGAACCAAATAGGTGAGGGCTTTACTCTCTATATGTGCAAACCAAATTAAAGTCTTTTTGATCTTGATGCAAATATCTTGTTGCTTGTGTATTAAAGTGTTGTTGTTTATGTGTTTGGATGCAACATCTAAACTAGACGCAAATACTTGCAAATTTTGTGTCTCTTACAAATAAGGTTGCCTTCAAAATGCAAAATTAATTTTAGAAATGAACCAAAACAAACATGGTCTAACTAATTTTTCTTCTTCCTTTTGGCACTAGTATGAAGTCCCCTATTCTAGTAAACCGCGGATGGGTTCCTTCAGATTGGAAAGAAAAGTCTCTAGAATCTCTAGGTACCGGTGTTGTCGTTGCTGCTGCAAATGAGGCTAGAAAATCTAATAAAATACTCTCCTCTCAACAAAATCTCTTGTCGAAGTTCTGGTGCAAGTTTAACAACCCAACAATTGCTGAGGTTGGTCTTCATTACATAAACTTAATTGGTACTCAATCATTCATTGCATATTTTGATATCATAGATAAGTTTTTTGGAATTTATTTTTAGAAGGATCAAGTCTCTGGGGCTATGCATGTGGAAGTGGTTGGTGTAATTAGGAAAAGTGAAACTCCAGGCATATATACTCTAGTAAATTATCCAAGTTCGCTTGCGTGGTTCTACCTTGACGTTCCTAAACTGGCTCAAGCAATGGGATTTAGTGAGGACACAATGTATATAGAGAATATTTACAAAGATATGGATGAAAGTAGACCATATCCAGCTCCGAGAGACGTTGAGAACTTGATTCGTAGTAAGGATATACCACTGGACTATCACTTATACACAGTTTTATGGTAACTAGCAACATAACTTCGACTTATTGAACTAATTATTACTACTGGTTTTTGTTTGTTTATTTATGGTGATTGTTTCTACGTGCAGGCATTGGAGCTCCCTGACTTGCTTTATTAAGGCGTCATCGATTTTAATGCGAAAATTTACAAAATCTGATCCTGTTGGTATTGAGCCAATATTGATTCCGATTTGTATTCTATTTTTTATATGTACCAAGATATACAGTCTTCGTAACTTATTTTGTAAAGTGGACACTATTGGTGTTGGGTGTCTCACTAAACTCGAGCCAGGAAAGGACATGCCCAATGAAGGATGAAGATCGTTCACCTGAAGATTGAGGAGAGGATATGGATTGTATAAGCAAATGAGAAGACAGAGAGAGGAAAATTTCATTCCGTATATTCAATCCATTTCCCCCTATTTATCTCTTAGAAACATCTCGCATCTGAAACGTCGTCATTTGTACTCTTCACTTCAATTTATCAGTAAAACAACATCAGTTATTACAACGATAGATTACTTGTTGCCCCATAGGTTTGTGGTCTAGTACTGGTACTCTTGCTTTTGTGCTTGAGGATGACGATTAGTGTGAACAATGAGCAGTCTACATCGTTAGTTGATAGTTTATCGTGAAACACTATAGGAACTACCGGACTAGGGTGGGTAGGATGTTTTGGACATGATTTAATGTAAATACTAGTCATGGATATGTATCTTGGAAAATAAGCATCCACATCGACTGTTATGATTGATGAATGGATTATACATTCTCGCGGACAATGACGACTCGAAGTTTATTTTTAATGCCTAAACCCCACAACTTATATATTTTTGTCCATATTTTTTCATCTTCTCACATTACATAAACAAAGCGGAATCAACTAGACTCTAAGATAGGAAACATAATACATACGAATCCAAAAACGGAACAAAATGCAACAACTTAAACTTGAAATTTAAGGAACAAGCCACGCCAACAAAACTCCTTCACTCTTAGATGATCAAAGTAAACCGCATAAGACAATATGAGAGGAAAATGGCCGACCCCAAACATTTTGTAGAATGTCTTTTCATACAAAAGAAATGATACTATGCATTTTAGATTTGAAATAACAAAAAAATCAAATTATCTACTTAGATAAGTCTATTAGCTGTTTCTTACTTTGACATATACGGTGTTAGTCAACTGTCCAACGGAGTTGAATTAGACGAATGACGTAGAATGTGGCTAAGCAAAACGATATAATTTTAGTCGTTTTGTTTGTGTAGTGTACACAACAAAACGACATGTTTTAAAATTCAAAATAAATTAAAATTTGATTGTGTTTTTTCGACATGTTTTATCCCCAACAACGACTAGCGATCGAATAAAAATAAAACAAATGTTAAAATTATTGGTTAGAAAATGAAAAAAACTACTATTTTGTTTTACACTATCTAGGAAAATAATTAACAGACACCTTCACTATAATGTTTAGTCTAGTAACTCAAGTTTGAAAAATGTCATACAGTAATTTATTCTCCTAGGAAGGGACACCAGATTTTTGATTCTTGAAAGGCATGTAAGCCAGGTGTTTTTTTTTTTATTGAAATCTTGCGCATGTGACAAAAATACAAAAACACCCTTTAAACTAGTATCTTTTCTTCCTAATTTTTTTCTTTTGGGTCTAAATGGTAACCGAGAAATCTGGCTGAATCCGGCTGAATTGCAGAATTTGGCTGAATTTTTAGTGATTTTCAGCTGAATCTAGCTGAATTTTTACATTTCTAAATGGTAACTGCGGAATTTAGCTGATTTTTTTTTTTTTGTGATTTTTGGTAGAATCTGTCAAAATAATTAAGACTTTAACTGAAAAATATCGTAAAATAATTATGAATCTTAATCAATAGAATAACTAATAAATATCTAAATAAAATAGATAAAATTATCTAATTGTCTAAGTAACTCTTATATTATAAATAAATATCTAAAATTAATACTAATATAAATAATATATTGGTTAGCAAAATTGAAAAAGTAGAGATGATTAATGAGTGATAAAAATGTAAACATACCCTATATTTACATCATCAAGAGAGTCGGCTAACATATTTTAAGGTTAATGCATTTAAAGGAAAAATAAAATTGGTAGAAGATTTTTTGAAACAAATTCGCAGAATGTGCTTCATTTTTTAGGATAACAATCTTTAAGTAAGATTATTTTGAAGCATATATTGTTTATTTCAATAAGAATATAATATGGAAAACTACCATAAAAACATGGAGATTACGTAAATAATTTATAAAGTCAATATTCGAAAATTTATAGAAAAACTAATCGCTGATGCTAATATTCGGAATAATCCATAAAAACATAGATTACATAAATCAATTAAATAAGAATATTGGTGTGAATCAATATTTTCTGATTTTCAAAAATATTTGCATCAAAGATTTAAAACAATGGTATTAAATTTTATTTTAATTTTTTTGAAAATGAAAATAATCGAATTTAGAAGAATGTATATTCCTAAAGCTTGTAACAATTTGATTTGAAATAGATTAATTTCTTTGGCTCTAAGCCTCTAACAAATAGAATTTGGAGATATAGTAACTATTATAATACGTTATAAAAATATATGTTCTTTTATATAATTAAAATTTAGTTTTGTGATATTTTTTTAAATATAATGAAAACTACCCGTCTAAAAAAAATATATTTCAAAATTTATATCATTAAAATTCTGATTAAAATGTATAATATTATAATCTATACTGGTAATATTTTCTAGATATTTACAAATCTAAAATCTAAACATCATTGGTTGAATATGCTATATTTTAAAGGATGGAAGTAGTTAGTTTAGATTATATATGACAAATATGATAAATTTTTTACCATATTTGGAAAATCAAATTTTAAAATCGTTTTGTTTTTCATGTGTACTTAACTACTAATCAGAATTAATAAGCATAGTTTGGTTATGGAAATTTTTCAAAATTAAAGTAAATGATCATTTGTTATCAAATTAGATTACCGTTTTGGGAATATCTAATAATATATTACCAAAATAAATAAGTTTACATATATACAATTTCGAATTAAATAGCTTGATTTGTTATGGAACCTTCCTTAAACGATTTCTAAAAATATAGGGTAGTTATTAAGTTATTAATTAAATAAATAAGTTTATATATATACAATTTCGAATTAAATAGCTTGATTTGTTATGGAACCTTCCTTAAACGATTTCTAAATATATAGGGTAGTTATTAAGTTATTAATTTAATTTCGGATTTTTTTAATTCAAGATCCGCGTGTTTATCCGACTATACTAACGGGTCAACCCAAGATCCGCTGGCTTTTTATCAATATATTGTCACAAATGTCCTTTTTTGATTTTCTTTCCTTCTTCAAATTTAAAAAACCAATGGCATCTTATGTAATATTTTACAACATAAAGGTCTTTTATCATTTAGTGATTCCCAATTAATAGTATAGATTAAAAACAGTTAATGATTTTTAGTATCTTTTTAATAGTGATTTTGTTGTAAAATATTGAATATGTGAACTTTAAGTATTTATATGGCCTAAAGCATCCTTCAAACATGTGAACTTTAAGTATTTAAAAACAGTTAATGATTTTTAGTATCTTTTTAATATCTTCATATAATTTTTTATTATTAAAATTTATATAAAAAGTCACATGTTTGAAGGATGCTTTAGGCCACCTAAAACATAGGAACCACCCAGATAATCACCATCACCCCTCCAAATCCCTTCAAACGCTTTGTAGATCTGATATCCTTCTTGTGTGTGATTGCTCACAATATCCATCTTAAAATGTGTATACTCATTAGCCAGCCACTCCACAACATCCCATTCGTCATCTGTATTTCTTTCTTGTTCATTCTTCAGTTTTTGTCTATCTTAGTTCTATCCGAACTCTTCATGACACATATTTTGACATCAAGATCTTTTTTCCTTATCAAAATTACATTAAAAAAAAACTATTTTTATTTGGATTAGAATGTATAAAGAAGAAACTGTATGATGAGGGAGCAATGCGATTGCATTTTTCACCTTACCCAACAATAACAATAAGAAAATATTTAAGCATTTTTATTAAGCTCATTTTTCTATAGATAAATCCCACATTATGATTGTATTCATGTAAGTCTTATTCCAAAAAAAAAAAGACACTTAAAAAAAAAACAAATATTTACAATAGATAAAGGGAAATTGTTAAAAATACCCCTTTTGGTGTGCCCCTTTTCAAAAATGCCCCTTTTAGATGTCCATTTTCAAAAATGCCCCTTTCTAAATCTGAAATTTTTATAAAGTTTTATTAGATTTATAAGGTACTTATGGATTGTAACTACTACTTGAAAACTCGATCCAAATATTTATAAGGTTTTATAAGGTGTTTTTAAAGGTTTTACAAGTTATTTTAAAGGATTTTTAAGGTTTTTCAAAGGTTTTACAAGATATTTTAAACGTTTTTAAAGGTATTTAAAATGCATGTATAAGGTATTTATAAAGTATTTATAAGATTTTAGATACATAGAAATGTAGTTTGTGTATGTTTTAATAATATTACATACATATTTGGGTAAGTCTTATATTTTTAAGAGCATTTTTTATAAGGTTTTTAAAAAATGGTATTTTTGAAAAGTGGCATTGAAAAAATGGCATTTTTGCAAAAGCCCCATAAATAAATCCCAAATTTTGTCAAAAACAAGTTCTAACAATATTTACTCTTCAAAAATATAAACAAATATTTACTATAAACAAAAATATTAATATAAAACTTTGAAATAACAAACCATATTGTAATAATATATATTTAACTCTATAATATTATAACATTATATTAATATTATAATATTATAACATTATATCTCTACAATAATTAATTGAGAAGTAGAAACGCACCATATTGAAAGTTAGGGCATTGGAGGCCTGTGGTTAAAAGTTAGAATGATTTGTCCTAAACACCCTTAATGAATTGTTCTTCTCGAAATTTCTCCTTCTTCGTAATTAGGGGTATATAAGTCTAATCGTGTGTTGATCTCTATAATAATGTCCTAAACACCCTCAATTTCGAAATTTTTTGTTCTTAATTGCTAGGGGTATATAAGGCTAATCGTGTTTTGAGATGATTAGTCTTAATCACCCTTAATTTTTTTTTTATATAGTGTAATCGTTGGGGATACGAATGTCATAATGTCTCGACTTTAAGGATTATGGAATCTTAGTTTTAATTTATTTGTTTATTTTTTTGGATAAATTCTATATCTTAGTAGTTAATATTCGTTTTTGTTAGTTTTCTGATTTAGTTTCTAATTAAAAAGTTAAATTTCTTAAGATAATGATTGATGTTTGCCCTAATCTTAAAGCTATATATATTGTTGATCGGTGAGAATTAGGTATTATTTTTTCTGTGCCCATTAGATAGTTTTCACCGTTATGATTTTTTTATACAGCTACGATTCTGATGAATCAAATTGTTTGTCATGCAAATACTGTTTTCATTTACCTTTAGACGTCGTGTGCATATTGTTTGTTGTTTGTTTTATTTTTTTGCATTAATTCGTTGATTTATTGTTTTGCTGATTTGATTCTTTTGATATGTGTTTCAGTTTTGTAGAACGTGGGAGGTTCCATCGACAAAGCTTTCGGACGAAGATGGTTTTGCCGAGAACAGAACGAGGTTTGGAAAGGTATTTCTATAGATTTGGTTTGTATATTTTACATATATTTACCTATTTTAATGTTTGTGTTTCTTTGTGTTATATTATATATTTTTATATGCGATTTTATTGCGTATTAGTTGTCCCTGCATTCATAATTTTTTTCAGCATATATTTTGGATTTTTATTATGTTTTTTTAACCTCTCAGGTTACAATGAGATGTGGGCATACGATCATCAAAGCGTGTTTGTTTCATCGTACAAAAAGTCAGTCTCTAATCTAAACTATATTTTGTATTTATCATGAATTTACATGCTTTTCTTTTTGATTGCTAGAAACCCTAACGTATATTTACTTTCTAAAACACAGAAATCTGTTTTGAAGCTCACGAAAAAACAGAGGTTGCTCGCTCTAATGTCATTATCGTGCAAGTTATCGTCTCCGGTGGCTCTCTAAATCGAGATCGATGTCGAGATTGCAAAGGTATGTCTATCGTGATAAAATTGTAAAATAGAGAGTTTCTTGTGACTGTTCGTGCTGATTCTCTTAGTATTGAGTTTTCGAAAGCTTGCCATGGATGGAAGATGAGCTTTCGGGAGTGTGTTGAAGTATAGGTACAATTCGTTTTTGATTTCATGGACTGCTTTTGAATTTGAGTAAAATTTCGTGAGTTTTAGAGGTCATATATCAATATTGCAGTCTTCTCCTTACTTGAATTGTAGTTTATATGTGAAAATTACACATCGAATAGTTTTATGATACAAATTTTCTTTTTCTCATTGGTCTATAAGTAGTGTGTCTTTTGTAAGATTTGAAAAGAAGAGTATTTTTGTGATGCTTTAAGTGGCACAATCTCAGTGGAGACGTTTTATAATATTTAAGTGTTGTGGTGTTTGCAGAAGAAAAGCTTCAAACTTGCAAGTGATGGCTTCAGGAAAGACACCTGGACTGACTCAGGAAGCTAATGGGGTTGCAATTAATAGACAAAATGACAATGATGTATTTGACGACATGAAACAGCGGTTCCTCGCCTTCAAGAAGCATAAGTACTTTTGCTTTTGCTTTTTCAATGGTTTATAAATTACTTCAAGAAGCGTAAGTAGCAGAACCAATTTCTTCAGTCTTTTGCTTTTTCAATGGTTTATAAATTACTTTTTGCCTTTCTGTTTCTCCCCACCTTATGATATACTCTTGAGCAGGGATAACTTAGAACACTACAAAAATTTGGCGGATGCTCAAGCTCCGAAGGTACCTTTACAATTTACAAATGCTTATTATTGTTCACGGAAGGCTTGAGATATCTTCTGTGGTTTAAATTTTGTCTGGAGAAAGGAATTGTTGCTAACAGTGTAAGCAACAGTTTCTGGTGATCGCTTGTGCAGACTCTAGGGTTTGTCCTTCTACTGTCCTGGGATTCCAACCGGGTGATGCATTCACTGTTCGCAACATTGCAAATTTAGTACCTTCATATGAGGTATAACATTTAGTGCATACTACCATTTTGGTTTTATGGCATGGTTCACATTTTGACATTTTTGAATTTGCCTGTTGCGTGAAGTCGGGACCTACTGAAACCAAAGCTGCTCTAGAGTTCTCTGTGAATACTCTTAATGTAAGCATTTGTTTTTTTTTTTAATTTTGTTGTTACTTGCAGCGTGAAAGAAAGAATCTTCATGACCTAAATGGTGTCTATATATTTAATGTTCAAGAAAGAAAGTGTATTGACCGTCCAATAGCAAGAAATTCAATATCATAGAAGGTATGCAGATATATAAAATACGTTTAGCTCGATATTTGAGGCTTATACATTGGCATGATCAAAATAGAAATTTGGTTTCAATAGTTTATTTTTGTTTTTAATTTAAAATTTATTGTATATATCTCTCATGAATGTGGCCAAACAAATATTGGTTTCAATAGTTAACTGTGCTTTTTCTTTCTAGCCAGATTAAGATAAATGCTTCGACTCTTGGTAAGAGTTATATCGTGTTTGTGTTTTACAATATGCTTAAAAAGAAATTCCATATACAATGTTAGGCCATATTGATTCAGTTTCGGTTCATTATGCAGGAAGTATGCAAACACTTGATGTTGGATGCAGGACTACGTTTTATGTTTTCTACACATATATGGCAGAATATATTGAGTTCAAGTTTTCAAACATAGAACCGAGAAATCAGAAAAGCAAAACTTTTATATTTTTAAGCCGAATTTCATATTCATCGTCCTCTACTACATGAGCAGTGTTGGTAATGTTTAGATTTCATGTTGTACTTATGAATTGGTGCAGGATTTGGATGAACTGAATAGTGGTAGAGAGATGGTTTACGAGAGAATCCAAACTCACTTAACTTGATCGAAGTCATATCAAGATACTGAATGTGGTGCTGTTAATGCTTCTAATGGCCCCATTAATACACATGTCTATGGTACGTACCAAACAATAAGCCATTTAATTCAAATAATATATATCCTTCATATATGAATATAAATTTAATGTTTTACATATAATGACAAGACTGTTCTATAAATTACAACAACGTAGGTGGAGGATGGGCAAACTTGGATTATAATCATCACTACTCATTTGCGCCTTGCAACTTCTTGCATAGAC